ATCCAAAATGGCGCCCCGGAGGAGCCCCGCGGTTGTGAAAGGCGGGGCAGCGGCAGCGCGGCGGCGGCGGCGGTGGCAGTGGCAGGACTGGGCAGGGGCTAATCCGAAGCCCTCCACGGGCCGCATCTGGCCCGTGGGCCGTAGGTTGCCGACCCCTGCTTACAAGTCTCAGTGCCATTTCTCACTTTTCAATGTTTTTCTATCTTTTTTTGAAAAGGAAAAAAAAGACACTTTCCTTCAAAATCAGATGTAAACCAGCCATTTCCAGATTTCTTTTTGCTTGCTTTGTGTTTCTGGCATTTTTAGAAATCCATGTGTCCCCCCCAGGATTCCAGAGGGACAAAATTGGCCCTCTAGGCCTGTTCTAGATTCTTACTTTTTTCAACAATAATGTGCTTATCCCTTAGTAAAACAGGATGCCAGCCTACCAGCTCTGAATCAAGGGTGCCCTCTAGGCTTCCAGTTTGTGTTTTATTACACAGCCTTGAAAACGGCCACAAATTACAGAGGCTGGAAACATTGCTTTTGGGGACCAGGACTCCCAAAATTCCCCAGCTAGTAATGCAGCCATGCTGGATGAGAGACTCTATGAGCTGTAGTCAAAAGAAGTAACTTTTCTGAGCTATGTCAATAGAAACACACTAGTCTGACTGCAGGAGCCAGTATGGTGTAAGGGTTTCAATATTGGACTACAACTCTGGAGACCAGGGTTTGAATCCCCACTCTGCCACTGGTTAGGCAAGTCACACTCTCTCAGCCTCAGAGGAAGGAAAAGACAAACCCCTTCTGAACAAGTCTTGCCAAGAAAACCCTGGTAGGTTTGCCTTAGGATCGTCCTAGGTCAGAAACAACTTGAAGGCACACAATAGGCTTATTGCCCCATCTTCCATAAGTACATTTCCTTCCTCTGGCCCTTGAACCTCAAGTACATCTGTCATCATGTCTCCTTCCTGTGCCGCATGTGATTTGCCTGCTGAATTTATAAAATTACCCCCAGTGGGTCAGTGGCCATGGTGATTGGGGGATGCTGTGATCTGTAGTAACTAAGGAGATTATCGCATTGACATAAAATTTGACTGCTCCCCAATGGGATACAGTCAGGTTGTGGGTTGCTACCAGGTATTATCATACACAAGTCACCACCAATACCGCCAGGTGAGTGCAACCAGGCTGCATCCCTGGTTCCAGGCGTGCTTCGAAGGCTGCTTTTCCAAGCTGGGAGCTTACCGTTGATTGCCTTGACAAAAGGCGGAGTATAAGAATAAATTACTACTACTTACTACTACTACTGCCATTTGGACAGGTGGACTCTGAAGTGTGCCTGGGACCTGGGATACAGCCGGGTTGCAACTGCACGGTGGCATTGGCGGTGACTTCCATGCGATAATACCTAGTAGCAACCCACAACCCAACTGCATCCCATTGGAGCAGTCAGATTTTATGACAATGCAATAATCTCCATAAAAATGTAAGGGTAGGCTGTCCTTCTTCTGACCAAAGAGGAGAGGATACACTGAATCATAGAATCATAGATGTGGAAGAGATCCCAAGGGCCATCCCTTCCAGTCCTCTGCCATGCAGGAATACAGATGGCCATCCAGCCTTTGTTTAAAACCCCCCAAAGAAGATTTTTGTTCATATTGTTCATTTTCACCATGCTAAGTGTGCTGTAGGGGAATGCCCTAGCTAAAAGATGTACAGAACCCGGGCTGGCCAACTGTGGTGGATATTACCAGGAGTAGAAATACACCGTTTAAATAGGTTGCTGTGACTTTACAGTTGCATGCTGATGCTTTGCAGTTCATTTGAGTTAAATGAAACTCATTTAAATATTTTTAAAATACCATTTTAAAAAACCAGGAGTGGACTTCTGGCCATTTTTGCATTGTTTCTTGGTTTGTTTGTTTTTTTAAAAAATGATAATCTGTGTGGCTCCCAGGAATAGAAAATTGGTCCCTGGACCACCAGAGTTGTCAACCTGGCTTCTGTACATCTCTTAGCTAGAGCTTTGCCCTACAGCACACATATGGTAGCATGGTCAAAATGAACAATATTTAATTATTTGTGTCTCATTGGTGGTGCCTGGGCAAACGTTTACCTTCTCAGTTTTTCCATGAATGTTTTGTGAATTCCTCCAGCCCCTTAACTTGGCTAATTTGCATTGATTTCCAGGAATTTGGTGGCAGCACATGCAATCTACCCTGTAAGGATCCCCTCTGTTGTTACATTGAATAGCTGCATTTTTCCCCAAGTTTCTTTCAACATTTGAAGATTCATTGTTTTCTTTCCTTGTGGAGAGAATGAGTGTGTGTGTGTGTGTGTGTGTGTCCTGTGTACGCATGCAAAAGCATATAACAGTTTATTTTAGAGTTCTGTCCTCTTCCTGACATGTATTTGTTTATCTTACTTAAACACAGGAAAAGAAAGGACAACAGAAAACTTGGACAGACTTTTTTTTACAAACCTTGCAACAATAACAGCAGTGTTTATAACAAAGGGTTTGAAAAACAAATGAATGTGGAAATGTCAAAGTATGGAAATAACTAGTTGCAAATTACAGAGTTATCTGTAATTAACCCTTTTTCCCCAATAAAAGGTGTAACTACACTACCTTATAGTGTTAACTGAATAAGGCAAAGCATTATTCCTTTTGCAATATAAGTGTAACCTATAATTATAGGGAAGAGCCAGCATGGCATAGTGGTTTGAGTGTTGGACTTATGACTCTGGAGACCAGGGTTCAAGTCCCTGATCATCCATGAAACCCACTGAGTGACCTTGGGCAAGTAACATGCTCTCAGCCTCAGAGGATGGCAATGGCAAACCACCTCTGAACAAATCTTGCTAAGAAAACCTCATGATATGTTTACATTAGGGTCACCATAAGTTGGAAAAGGCTTCAAGGCATACAAGAACAACAACAGCCTCACTAAAAAGGAGTTTCCGCACTGCCAAATGCTATGAATACTGGGAATGGAGTACTGTAATACATTTAGCCTTCTCTGTCAAAGAGCTCTAGTGCTGCTATAAACTACAATTCCCAGAATTCCATAGCATTGAGCCGTGACAATTAAAATGGGGTAAAACCAGATTATTTCTGCAATGTGGATGCAGTCCAAATTTATGTTCTCCTATCACTGGAGAGAGTGAAAAAGATACCGTGGACAGCCAAAAAAACAAACGAATCTTTGAACAAATCAACCCTGAACTCTCTCTGGAAGCCAAGATGACCAAACTGAGGCTGTCATACTTTGGCCATATCATGTGAAGGCATGAATCATTAGAAATAGACAATGGCAGTAGATGTTCTTTTTATTTATATTTATATTTGTATTATTTTTTATCTTGCCTTTCTCCCAGAAAGGGACCCAAGGTGGCTCACAATATAAAAACACATTAAAACAACAAAATGATTTTCAACTGTGGGAGAAGGGTAGAAGGCAGGAGAAAGAGAGGAAGACCACACACCAGATGTATAGACTCAAATCAGGGAGGCAATGGGCTTGAACCTGCAGGACCTGAACAGAACAGTTGAGGACAGGAGGTCTTGGAGATGTCTCATCCACAGAGCCTCCATGACTCGAGGCAGTTAACAACAAACAACAAACTCCATATGGAGAGGCTGAAAAGGAGATACCCCACAGTAGATTCTCTTTTTTAAAAAAGGCCCTTCAGCAGTGGGAGAAAGATTTAACAGAAATAGTTTGGGGGAGTTTAAGCTTCCATTCCTCACATGTGGTGATTTTAATCTGGATCAGCCCTCCCTTGCTTAGGAAGATGAGTCTCAGCTGTACAGAATACATTCAATGTAGTGGGTAGTTATACCCCTTATTTTCAAAAATACATGGGGAGATATACTCTAATTTTGTGTAAATTATAAATTTTGAAATTAACTTCTATGGATGTAAATTAGTAAATGCCAGTGCTATGCAGATCTGCATCCTCTGTTGTCCTCTTCTTTAGGAATATGTAAGTGCCCCCCTGCCCCGCAATTCCAAAATTGTTTTTGCAATGTACTACTAGTATGTGACAATGCAAATTATAATTAGATCACCAAGGCAATCCAACCCCCTGCCATGCAGAAATACATAGCCAAAGCGCTCCGAACAGAAGGCCATCCAGCCTCTCTTTAAAAATTTCCAAAGGAGACTCCACCACATTCTAAGGCAAGGGTCGGCAACCTACAGCCCACGGGCCGCACCCGGCCCGCCGACCCCCACCACCGCCATGTGCGCTACCGCTGCGCCGCTGCCGCACACGTCACAGCCGCCATTTGCGCATGCGCAGTACGAGCCATGGTCACCATTTTGGGAAACAAAATGGCATCTGCGCCACGTGTGGCGGCGGCGGGGGCTGGCGCGGCAGGGGCAGCAGGGGCCGCGCACCGCCATTCCTCCCCCCGGCCCAGCGGAAGACTTGGGGACCAGCGACCGGCCCCAGGTAAGTAAACCTTGCTGACCCCTGCTCTAAGGCAGCATATTCCATGGTCAAGCAGCTCTCACTGTTAAGAGGTTATTCCTGATGTTTTGGTAGAATCTATTTTCTGTAGTGTGCTCCATGTCTAGTCTCTGGAGCAGCAGAAAACAAGTTTGCTCCATCCCCAATATGACATCCCTTCAAATATATAAACAGGGCTATCATATCACCTCTTAATATCTTATAAGTCTACGGGCAAAAGTTGTTCTCTGACACAAAGAGACCTGTGGCCTCACTGGAATGGAGACATATTGGATTTCAAAAGAGGGGTCCCTATTGAGATGCAAATGGATTTTAAATTTCCTGAACTTTGCAAATCTCCCTATAGCCACAGGACCAGGAGGAGGAGGTTCCTACCTACAAAAGATATCCTCCCCACCATATACCATTTAACTAAAGACTGAAACAACATGTAGGCATCTTATTAACATCTCCAATTGTTTTTCTCCTGTTTGGTTTGCAACATGGAGCTTCAAAAGCTTGCAACAAGTATATTGTGCATTTTGGTTTGCCAATAAAGGTATCACTGATGGATTTTTGTTTGAATTTGCTAAATGGCCAACACAGCTACCCATGAATGCAGAATGTGGAATACCTGATGTACTCCTGATTGTGAACCAATGCTTTCTGGACCTTTGCCACTTGTGATTGGATAATTCTGTGATCTAGGTACTGATCCAGAACAGATTGACCTACTCTCATATGCATACTCAAAAGCTTGTTACTTTTTTCCACTATACCTTCCAGAATCCCCAGCTAATATGGCCATTGGTCTGTACCAAAAAACTTGACTTTTACAAAAACATGATTTAGAGTGCCTAAATAGTTTGGGGTATAAAAATACATCATGTTTTCATGTTTAATTTGTATGGAGTGCACTGCACATTATTGGCCCTTATTTATTCTCATCCTTGGAGCACAAAATGTTTCTTGGAAATTATAGTGTTGCTGAATGAATGACTAAATCATGCTGGCTCTGAAAGCATAAATTACCAACAAGAAAGAAAATAAGGAACATGCTTGCGGCTCTCAATACCCAAAGGACATTCTAAAACCTGCCAGTAATTATCAGCCTTGTTTAAGACTATCTTCCTGTTAAATAAACCAGAGATGTTAATATGGAATAATGGAAGAGTTATATAGCAAGGAGCATGCTAAATGGGAAGTAACAGCCTATTTTTTAATAGAAACCCGCTCTGCATGAACTTGTTAGTCATATACCATACCCTTCTACATTTCACAGGAAAATCAGAGTGTGATGAAGAAGGCAAGTTATTAATGAGGAAGAACATGCAAGCTAGGGCCACAAAGCGATAAGAAAGCGAAATAAGAATAAATCCAGGACTAA